CAGGAATCAGTAGAGCTAATCTTTGCGAAACTGACTTCAATGCAAGTATATCCTTCCTTAAGCATGAAAAGCAAAACTTTCCCTGGGTGCACATTCACTAATGTCCTGTACAGTTGTAGCAAGACTCCACATTTTTATAGTCCCCATCCCTACTTGCAATAAAGAGCCATATTCATTCCTGAGAACTTAAGTTATGCTAAGTCACGTACCAGGAAAAGCAGATTCCTCTGCAGTACTGTGTTCTATACTCTTTCCATTAAGATAATATTCTGCTTTTCTATCGCTCCTGCCAAACTGAACTACCTCACATTTTCCCAGGTTATACTTCATTTGTAAATTTTTTTAATAACTGACTTAAATGATCTATATTCTTTTGCTGGATTTTCTTTTCCTAACTATCTTCTTTATTGTCAGCAAATTTGGCTATAGTACAGTCAACCTCTTTATCCTAGTCATTAAAATGGATCAGAAATAGAGGAAGTCTGAACATGATCCCTAAGGCACTCCACTCCGTAGTTTGCGAACTTGACAGTTACCCATTAATTCCAACTTTTTGTTTTGTTATTTAGCTAATTTTCTATCTGTGCTAATACATCACCCCCAACACCATGAGCTCTCCTCTTGGGCAGTAATCTTGTATGTGGTACCTTTATTGAAAGTTTGAGGTCATCCTTTGATTCTTTTATTTAAGTAGAGAAGAATGAGAATTTCTTCCCTGAGGCTTGTTTGTCTTTGGAATTCTCTTCCACAGAGATCATTGGAGGTTGGGTCATTGAATACATATAGTCACTGCTGAGTTAGACAGATTATTGATCTATGAGGGAGTCCAAGGTTAGGAGGAGGTGTCAGGAAAGTGGAATTAAGATCCCAAAAAGACAGACTAGAATTTCTTCTAAATGGTGATAAGCTGGGGACTGTGGAGGAGCAGAGAGATTTAGGGACTCCTCTTCTTGAGTTCTCTGCCTGAAAGCAATCTGAAATTGATTATTGGCTAAACGCTGTCATTTTTATGACTGGTGAGGCAAGGAGGCAGACCAGAGTCAACGTCAGCTGAAATAGGGAACGAATCCTGTACTGTTGGCATTAATTTGATCAGCATACTAGTAAGGTAGCCAATTGAGGGATCCAAATACTAAAATCACTAAGTTAGTTGACGGGGTTCAAGAAATAACTTGAAATAAGTAAATAGAACTTTTACTTCAAGGGAGCTGGAATCTGAGAGAATGGAGACTCTGACAGTAACATAGAGCTCTGGTTAGACCCACTTAACATGCAGAATGATACCCTGATTCAAAGCATAAACTAAGTTTTGCATAAACTAAGGCTGCGTTCCCTGGAAATTATAAAGTTAAGGGATGATTTGATTTGAGGTTTTCAAATTGTAAGGAACAGAGAGGTTGGATAGAAACTGTTATAATGGCTTGGAGAGTCTGGGACCAGGGATATTGCCTAAGACCTGGGACCAGGGATATTGCCT